CCAGGTATTTACATTTGATTTTTTGTTTACGGAAACATATTTGTGACGTCACCTTGTTTAGTTGCCATGTCAAGACAATAACATCATTTCGCGGAATTTTCGTTTTATGAAATTTTACCATGAAAAATAAATTGAAATGGACTGATTTGTTTATTTTGCTGAAGAATAGAGATAAATATATTGTATCTGAAGCTTGGCCTTCGTAAACTGGGGATTTTGATGTCGAAAATTGAAAATATCTGGCAGCATAAATAAGTTGGTCGTAACGCGGAACAGCCGTTTATGTGTATTACTACGTTTGCGCTAAAGGTAGATATATTGTGATTATACTGGTTGACGATAATAGGTCGTCATGTTAGAATTAAATATATATATATATGTGTACAAATTTTTGCACCTCATGTTTGCGGTATACCATCTTTTCCGCAAGTTTATTGTTTTCTGTTTGGTATTTAATTAATAAATTAAAATCCATTTTTACATCTGGTGATCCGTTTATTTGGCAATCGCCATGGCAGTCAGCAGGGTTTAAGAACATCCGTTGTTCGACCTGCTAGTCAAATGCGTTTTGTTAAAATATACTTTTTCACTTTTTTGGTCTTTTGGAAAATGTTGTTTGTGCTGTATTTAGACCACTCTACCAAGAAATTTGTTTTGCATGCACACGTATAAAAATTGCGGTTTTTATCCAACGCAATCATAGGTTTGAACGTTGTTTTCAATTTAGACTTGTATATATGTATATATACATATATATAGCGTTATCAATTATATTTCTGGAACGTAAAAAATAAAAAAGACGACAATGTCCCTTTATTTTTTTACATTTACATTCTGTACAGGTCTGTTCTGGGAATTGCACATGACCACGTCTTCTTTTTCTGTTTATGACCTTGCTTTTGTAATACCCTATGGGAAGTACAGCCATCAAAATTACAGTGTAGGACGGTGTCATTGCATATTAGCAAGCTGGGTACTATATGTTTGCATTCAGTAACAGTGAGCATTCTTTGATAGGGTATAGTGGGTTCTTTTTGTATTTGTATATTTGTTATCTCTTCTACTGTTGTCTTAGAGCCAATTGCTGTTTCTTACCTTTTTTTATTGTACTTTCTTGTATGTACCTGTTGATATTCCACTGGTCGAGATAAATGGAAGGGAGCTTGAGTTTTAAAATAATTGTTATATCGTAATGTGTTTTTGTCATTTTGGGGGATTTTGTGTTTAAAGCAAGTCTTTGCTAGTCCCTGTTAAATATATTCACTGCGATCCTATACTGTTTGGTGATGATTTAGAGCTTGAAAAATTGTATAGAAATAAGTCAATATGTTGAAATCTAGATGATTTTTGTTTGTGTTTTTGAGTTGCTGTCTATATGATATCATAAAAAATGTGTAAGTTCATTTGCAGTGTTATCGCACCAATGTATGTGATGAGTATAATCATTACTACCGATCAGGGCACAACTCTAGATTTTCGTCCATCATGTACCATCGAAATACAAAGAATTTTCTACCCTAAGAATAGATTACCGTAGCTGGATTTGGCCAAACATTTCGGAATTTGGGTTCTTAATGTTCTTTAACACATAGGCGAAATCTCTTTGGGCTTACTGTGCTATAATTTGGATAATGCACAGCAAAGGTGTGCACTAACTATCTCAGATTTACTGCACTGTTCAAAAGTGTTCTTACCTATAGGGGAGATTCTAGGACTTTTCAAAAGGTACGTTATACCGACCAGTTCGACGATTTTATGCTAAAAATTGATATAATTTCCAAATAAAAAGGAGGGCGTAACCAAGCTTCGCTCCCCTGAATCCGCCACTAGTCTTGCAATTACGACATAGTTGATCAAATAACAACGTCGTTTCAAAATATATAGGAAATGGAAAGTGTTTCTCATTCCTTAAACTGGGAACATTTTATGATATTTTGTGTACAATGTAAATCTTAAATCAGTGTTGGAAAGTCAAAAAAGATATTATTTCTTTTTGTAATTTCTGCCAAAAAATAAATGTATTTTAGAATGTCCAAATAATTGAAATCTAATTTGGATTAGTTTTGTGTTCAATGAATTATAACGCCTGACTTTTTAAATATTTGTTTATTAGTGATTTTTTTAGGATCGAATTTAATAAGGTTAATAAAATTAAATTTTAAGTATGTGCAAAAACAGGAAAAGATATATAAGTTGTAGATCAATCAGACTTTGTTTAGATGAGGCATATCTTCAAAATTAATACAGTTGAAAAATTGTGGGGGGATGGGGAGAAAATAAAAGGTTGACAATTGAAACGTTTTTGTTCTGCTTACTTTGCACTATAAATTTAGGTACGTATCTCTTCGATTATAGAAAAACAAAAGATATGGGGTATCCATTCATGACACAATATCAGTACATGCACAGCAAAAAACACATAAAAAGCAAAGGAACAGCGCTTTTATTGCCCAAGAATAAATACACCATAACTTAAAGGGGCATTAGCTACGAGATATATAAAAAAAAATATGATTTTTTTTGTTCAATCATTAATGAAAGTAAAATTGTGAAATAATCGCTTTTAGGAGCCAGTTTAGTTCAATTTTTGTCAAAATAAGCTAAGAAACATCGCTGATAAATTATTCACTTGCAAGTGAATAATTCGACCTCATTAAAAAGAAAAGAATGTCAACATTGAAAGTGAAACAAAGGTGAACCATTTTGTTGACTGATTCGATCCACAAAATATTATTCTTAAACAGGTAAAAACGATGATTAACTTATGTTTTTAACCTATAACATGAAATCAAACAGATCTAGAAAAATCAAATTGCACGTGGTCGCAATCTATTTATATGTATGTGTATGTTTATATCGGGTTATGTGACCGTTGGTAGTCTTCGGAGGTCATCTCGATGGTTAACTAGATGGCGTCTAGACTAAAATACACACAAAATGCTCATATATATTATCGAGTCCATGTATTGTTAATTGTTTATTTCAGACTTATTGAAATTTGGATATAAGTTTTAGTATGTTATAAATCAAATATGAATATTTGAGTCAAACCGGTGAACATGAATTCGACAGCTAATGCCCCTTTAAGGTCAAGTTACAGTAAATGGGCTTTGTCACAGATTTTGCTTAAATTTTGCATACAACTTTAACTCGTTGAGCTATAACTGAAAATCGAAAAAATAATGCATTTATCTCTTTTATCATCCGAAATATTACCGATTGAATTCTATCAAAATAGGGAAACATTTGTATAGAAAGCACATAAAATAGGCGAAAAACCTTCTTTTTGTCTTTTAATCATAAAGTCTCTAATTTTTAATACAAAGATTTTTCTTAAAAAAAACTATATGTGGTTGATACATAAATTTCCGTTTTAATGATCAAAAATAATGTTATGGTCACCGACTTCGTTTTTGGTCTAATAATCAATCTGTTACCTAGTTGGTAGTGAAAAACGTCAAAAATTAACGTTTTACGGCCTGCAACGCGATGACGTTTCGATTATTTCGACGTTTTGTAGCATTTTTTCACATAGAACACCACTTTGATAAATGCATTATTTTTTCGATTTTCAGTTATAGTTTAATGAGTCAAAGTTGTATGCAAAAATTTAAGAAAAATCTGTGATATAGCCTATTTACTGTTCCTTGACCTTAAATGAGCATACACCTCATGAACTTCTTCTCACCATATTCTTGAGGGAGGGGAAACCAATTAAACTATATTCAATAACCCTTTCAGTTATAATGCTATGTCATAAACCGGTTTAAAAGTCTAAAACTGTAGGAGATGTGGGTTATACACCAATAAGACAGCAATCAAACGACAAAAACAAAAAAGGGACATCAAGAGGGCAACACATAGTTTTCAAGAGTAAATAGGTGTCTACACAATATATCAAGTTCTGCACAGTCACGAATTCATATACAAATTGTGAATGAATTTAACAGAAACAATCAAAGATCTGCCATTAAAACGTAATTCTCCAAATAATATAAAAATTTAGGAGAAAACCTGAATATCACACAATTTCATAATTTAAAAGTTACCAACCTTTTACTAGTAATATATTACCTTAGCTGTATTTGGCAAAACTTTTAGGAACTTTGTATCCTCAATGCTCTTCAACTTTGTACCTTTTTTGGCCTTTTTAACTTTTTTGATTCGAGCGTCATTGATGAGTCTTTTGTAGACAAAATCCGCGTCTGGTGTACACAATTTCAATCCTGGTATCTATGATGAGTTCATTTACTATTTTTCCATTTATTTTCCCTACAAGAGAACTTTCCGAGAAGCCTTGGATTGAAAAAATCTTCTTGCTTATTTCCAAAACGTTCATGTAAATTGATGGCGTCATGTGTTAAAACAGTTATTGGACAATCAAATCGGTATATATCATTTAATCAACGCGGTCAGGATGACCCTTTAAACCGAACTCATACGTTGTTCGGGTCAAGTATGGTCACCCGAGCTGTGCAGATTAAATGGCAAATACCGATTTGCTTGTTCAATAACTATGATTAACTTCGTATTTTATTTGGCCTTTTTAGTTTTTTTTATTCGAGCGTCACTGATGAGTCTTTTGTAGACGAAACGCGCGTCTGGCGTAAGCAGTTTTAAACCTGGTATCTAAATTTTTAGAGAAAAGCAGAGTAGCAAAAAAAAAATTTAAATGTTCGTGGAATAATTGGAAAATAATGTATTCGAGTTGTTACATGGACAATCATACCACATCTTCTTATTTTTATATTTACTTTAAAGTTTGTTGCTCACACTGTATGAATGCAGTAGCATGTGTACCCGTGCCTGTGGTGTGTGCCCTTATATTTTACAGATAGGGTTTTTTGCTTGTGAGAGAGCTGTCTACATCTTCTATTATATTAATGTTCTATTTCTTTATGGTGGAGAGTTGTTACATTGGCAATCATACCATATCTTCAAATTTTTATATATAAGATAATTTTTGACTTTCAATGAGAAGCATTCCATATGAATAAACATTATGAAAGTATACGTTTTATTGGTTACAATAAGATATTACCGTTTTTTCAGTTTTTCTTTAGGAAATTTTCGAAAGGCAAAGTTTACAAGCAACAACAAAGGAATCAATAAAAACGGGCTGTATATAGCAAACAATTTTAGCCTCTCGTTTACTGTAGTTGGTCCTGGGTATTTTGATGTGCTGAAGTCATTTAAAAATAAATGGAAGGCAATGCATATTGTCGTTGTCGCTGTGTGGGCGGCATAGATCAACATAGGTCTTTGTATCCAGGGACATCGGTTTACACCTAAAATGATATGGTAGTTATAAAGTTGGCAATAAACAAACTGCAGAGATTAAATTGCACTCGATTTATTCTAATGATTGTTTTATCGGTGTTAATAACCCTTTGGCAAATATCAGAAAAATGCAGGATGAAGAAAAATTATCATCAAATCATTGTAAGAGTGGACTGGTGGTCATAGGATGAGTAGACCAGTAGGTCAATGTCACAGCCTCTGGAAAATTAATAGTGAACTACATGTATATGCTTCTATTTTGCATATATATTGAACTCATATGCGACTCTTGAATTTTAATTGATTATATAACACTGATGCATATAGGCCTTTCCTTGCTTACTTTCTAATATTACTCAATGTTGAAGGCCAAACGATAACATGGAGTTAATTATATCCTTGTCTTTGGTATTGGATGGATAGTTGTCTTATTGTCAATCATACTGTTGTAGAGAAGTTTCATGCATAATATAGTTATTTACATCATATACTTTACTACTGGGATGTTTCTTTTGGTTCGTATTTAACCCCTGTGTTTAAACTCAAGCACCATTAAAACCATCGCCGAGTTTATTTAAGTAATTACTAAAGAACTACTACCACCCTCGCCGAATTGATTAAATTTATTACTGGAGCATCTCTACCACCATCCCCAAGTTATCTGAGTATTTCCTAGGTTTTAGATTTCTAATTGTTTGTTATGTTGCCTTATTGGCTTTGTCTGTGTGTTTCGTCTATGGTTTTGTCCGTTTTCTCTGTTGACATAGGTGAACATGTAACGATGCTGTCCTTGACCAAGTAAATTTAAAACCGCCATTCAATAGTTGCGCTTGTAGAAACGAATAAAAGGATAAGTGGGTACATTTGTGATAGACACAACGGCACAAAAACCAATAAGATAAATATCTAAAGGCCAACATGCTATCTTCTTTAGTTCAATGAGTAAAGCGTTGGCTTACTGTGTGCCTATTGTTCGATCCAGACTGTACAGTGGTATTTATTTTTATGGAAATCCATGCTCTACTGTTGCATATGTCCTTCATATCGCTTCATGGTATCAGTATTGACTAACTTATTTACCTTCACATTTCTATGTATTGCCAACCCCCTACGAATAAGATTGATAAATTACAAAATAAAAAAAGAGTTAAAACGGTTAGTAATAAAAGGTGTCCTGTAAATTAATTAACTAAGAAAAAGAAAATGACAGAAATACCTTTTGAAAATGCGTATACTGCCACAAAAAAGAACGGCAGTTGAAACAAAACTTCACAACAAATAAAGGACTTGAACCAGGCTGGTGATTCTACCATCATCGGATCTTTAAACTCTCGGCAATACCAATCCATCAGGTCTACAACCTACAATAAAAAAAAACTGTATATACAATGCAGATAAGTAAAGGAGTCCAAGCTTCCCTTCGTGACTGGGTAACACATATGTTGTCACCTGGACTTCTCTCATCAGAAAGTTGGTTTAAACCGTGATGCATGAGGTACGTATACGTTTGGTTGTTTATGATGCATAAATACGCCACTGCTACTGTCAGCTACATACAGTACAGTTCGGGTTAAGGAAAAAAGTATACTTTATGTGTACAGAGAACCACCTTCGATTTCCCTGCACATAAGAAACCTTGGAACAACTATTTGATTGTTACTAGTTGACCGGGTCAATCGCAAGAAAAACACATTTTGCCACAAACAATTCACCCCCTTTTTCCAGTGACATCAACAATTTCCGCCCTTAACTGACAAACGTTAAATTGCAAAATCTCACGTGTCTCGTTATGTATATGGATTGATTTTTCCTCTGAATGTTACACATAGTCATACTAAGTACAAGTTCTTAATTGAAAAACTAGAGTATCCCCTGTTTCTGTGCATATCCTTGTGCACTCCTTTCCGTTATCACCTGATATTCCGAAATATTCAAGTCGCGAAATAAAAAGAAGAGGAAATATTTATACCATAATTATTGTGATAGCAATAGTCTATTACTAAAAATCAAGAAATGTTGTCTGAGATCATATTGTAATAACTAATGTTGCCATACAGATGTCTTTTGGTTACTTTTGTCGTTTGTTTGCTGTTTCATTGACGTATACCTTAAATATGCTTTTATTCCTATCTATAAAAATAAGGTGTCGATGGATTGTCAATGAGACAGCTAAATGTATCTACCAAAATAAAAAAGGAATAGTATTAAACAGCTTCCGTCATCGTACTGCCTTCAACAATGAGCAAAATCAATGCGGCATATATAAAAAAGCTATACAATATAACGTAGAAAACTGATCAATTAAGGTTCATCATAACCTTTTAGTTAATATAGCCGTATTTACATCACAAATTTTACTCGGAGTACAGACAAACCTATGCACCAGGAAAAGTTTTACGGCATGACAGGAACTAGATAATTAAATTTTAAACGCATTTTATGTTTCAGAAAATTATAAACTTTTCTGGATTTTAAGATTCTATATTTTCGTTCACACAAAAGTTGCCAAAATTAACTAAGTTTGGAAAAATGTTTAAGATCCCCTACGTAAATAGTTGTAGTGAATTGTATTGATTAACAGTGGATACTAGATGGACAATAGATATCTGCACAACAATAGGTGATTTAAACTGTGTAAATGAGTGAACCATATCAAATGAAACTCAGGTGTTTGTTTATCATGTTTATTTTATCACCTTCTACAGGCTTAAACAAGGAATCTCAAATTCCAGGTATCTCAAATTCCAGGTAAGTGTTTAATTTTCTGAATCATAAAATGCATTCAAATTTTATTTACCTAGTTCCAGCCATGCCGTAAATCTTTTCCAGGTGCACAGGTTTGTCTGCATTTAGAGTCAATTTTGTGGTGTAAACACGGCCATATTTTTCAATTCCTTCTGATGAACATATAGAGCAATACCATTGAACGATAAACAACTATGGCATATGACAACGAACAATCACTGGACTACAGGCTTCCTACTTGAATTGGGGGACAGGAGCATTAAGCATATAAAATAGTTCTACACAGGTTTGTGAACGCTCAACTCTCATCCATGTGATAGTCTAGTGACAACAGCACAACATTTAGAACAACCTGTAAAAATCCGTTTATATGTCTTTGTTTTAAAACTGTACTTACCACTCCAGGGTAAATCCATTTTGGAAAAATGGCTTGTGAATCGATAAATATTGCTACTGGAATGTGTACAACAAAATATATCAGGAAAATAAAGTCCAAAATAGATGTAAACTTCATAATTATGTAACATATAATGTATACAGAAATATACCAAATACAAACAACAAAGTGAAAGTAAAGATAAATAAGAAATCATAGACGGTTTTTGTAAGTAAAAAAAAATCCGGAAAATACAAATAGAATGTTACGGTTTTTTATTGAAATTTAAATTTATTGATTCTTTATTCTATTGATCTATTTTAGATGAATGTTCTGCTCTTGTATATTTAAGGTATATAATTAATTTCGATTTAATTATAAACAGATGAATATTAATTTACGCGGTATATAATAAATGTATAAAAGAAAAATCAAATACGGGGTATACAGTACGTCATAGGGGGAGTAATTAAAACAACAACAAAAGCAAAACAACAAACAATCAAATAAAGAAAAAAATCCTAGTGCAAAAATCCACACAAATATATACACACTGAATGAAAATCACACTGACAAAAGGTTTTAATCAAGGTTTGATAAACAAAAAATATGTGTAGAAAAACTTTCATTTTCTGTCATCTATTTTTAGGACATATTATTTTTATTTTATTGGTTGTTTGATATTAACATGATGACCTTTTAGATAAACTTAATAATTGCAGGGACTTGAATGAAGTAAACTCTTTAAAGCCCTTGACTAAAAATGAATTTAAAGAAAAATATAAAATTATTTTTGAAAATAGAATAAATAGCTATGATGGGAACAGTTACTGTAACCTATTACTTTATAAAAAAAAATAAAACTTAGCTTGGTTAGAGAATTATATTTAGCTTCCAATGACTTTTCTATAAGAAAATGCTTCTTTATAAGAAAATGCTTCCCTAATTAAGAATTAGGGACCATAATTTAGGAATAGAAAAAGGTCGCTATTATAAAATTCCTGGAAAGGATATAATATGTCAACTGTGCCACTTGCTAGAGGATAAAAAACACTTCCTCCTTGAATATAAAATTAACAAAAATCTAAGGTCTAATCTATTTGAAAATTTAATTTTTCCATTTGAAAATTGTTTACCTACTAACTAATAATTTTATGTCTCTTATCCAAGAACAAAAAGAAAAAGAAATGCTAAACCCCCTATGGAATATGTTAAAGATATATTGGCTCCTTTATAAAACAGTCATAAGAACTGAGGGCAGGAGTCTTATAATTTGTTTTCCATGTGTTCATTTATGTTAGAATTGTAAATTGTTATTTATCTGCTATATTATGTTTTGTTTTTTCACAAACTTAATATGTGAATATGACAATAAAGATAATCAATTATTCGCCAAACGGTTTTAGAAGATTTTCAAATCATGATAATAACGTGCCTCTGCAAAAAAATTATACAAATGGTGAGCTGCTATAGTTTCATAAATCTACATCTTATTTACTCTTGAATTGTCTCTCTTCGTCAGCAACTTTTCTTTATATAATTACATAGTTTAAAAAATGATCAGTGTTGACGATATCTCTCTAATAAGGGTCATTACAAGTACTGAATACGTACCCTGGCAAGCGCAACAGGGAATACTATTATACCAAATGTTTATTAACAATATCTCATTTAGCAGTTTGTATTGCCAAATATTTTGTGCTTTTTTTAATGATGCATCTGATTTTGTTTTACTCGAGTCTTATGGTCCTTGATGGAGATCTGATAAGCAATGTTTTGGGAGATAATTCTGGCTCAACCACAAATCACTCTTGGAGATATCATTCACAGACAAAGAAAAATATGTGAAAGAAACGTACTGTATAGAGAACTCCATAATGCCAACAAACAACTTGTACATTTAGGCTGTAGTGGTGTCTATTATTTGTATCCTTGATAACTGATATAAGAAGTCCATTACCTTATTAATTTAAATTAACCTCTGCTACATTTGTTATATATAATGTATGCATTTTTGTTGCTACATATAGGGGTTAATCTACATCTACGTTCTACATAAACCAAAATAAAACGTAACAATTTTCCTGTCTTTGATGCAAATTTCTGGATTTACCGTAAACAGGAACTTAAAAAGACAAATATTCTCGGAAGCCGGAGAGAGATATGTATATAGGGAGCTATAAAATAATAAGGACTAAAAAGAACAGCCAAAACGAGAAATAAGTCCTGCTTTGCCATTGATAGTTTTCACATCGTAATTTGTGTAATTTACAAAGTATACCATTTAGGATTATATGATTGCAGTACTAATGGCATTTACATAGAAGATTAGTGAATTTATTAAAAACCTGTTCGTATGATTAAAGTTTGTTTAAATCACCATTTAATTGTGGAAAGAACCAAATCAAGGAAGGAAACCACAATCAATTTGCCAAGGATGCTTATCTTTTTTCTTTGGTGATTTCCGACCAGTCTAAATAGTATTTTTGGAAAACGACATACATGTGTTTGTCAGAGAGGTAAGACAGGTGTATAGCAACATTTGCAATTAAGTCTGTGCAAATAGATATGTTTCTCGTTTCTCGTTTTTTTATATAGATTAGACCGTTGGTTTTCCTGTTTGAATTGTTTTACACAATCCTTTTTGGGCCCTTTATAGCTTGCTGTTCGGTGTGAGCCAAGGCTCCGTGTGTTGAAGGCCGTACTTTGACCTTAATTGTTTACTTTTTACACATTGTGACTTGGATGGATAATGTCTCATTGGCACTCATACCACATCTTCTTATATATAGTACAAGTGTTTATACATACAGTTAAGGTTTTACGAATTTTCTTTCAACTACTCCACAGATTTAACCCTTAACATTATATCTAAGTTTCACCGAAAATCTATATAATCTCGACAGAGCAATAGAGTTTTATAGTTGTGTTTCCAATTTATGGATTTAGAATTTAGATTCATGGTATTTGGCCCCTTTGGGTAAAACCTTTCGTTTAGCAAATGTTATGTAAAGCTAACAGCTTATGGATCATAAATGGCAGAATAAAGACAATCACAATCACTAAGCAGTAGGAGGAACTGGATAGAAAATCATGCCATCAATTTTGCCATTACAACAATAAGGTGTTGAAGTTCCAAGTTCATGAATCCAGCATGAATTCTCCTTTGTAGATAATTCATTCACACGTCAATTTAAGATTCTTTTAGTGGCACATTCTTTCGTAGGCTCATGAAAATCTGTTAAAGCTTAACTTTGAAATAAGCCGCCTCACTTTACGTATAACGTTTTTAAGTATTTATCCGAGATTTTAATTTTCCATTTGACAATTAAATGATGAAAATGTACGTTCACTTACCATTTTCAATGAAAAATTGTTGTACCTTTTGACACGAATTAAATTCGAGGGTAACACCAGCCAAATTGCCTTTACTTTGGTACAGGCATGAAAATACTAATATGTGTTTTTTTTTAAATTTGTTGTTATAAAATTTCGAATTATATTTAGATTAAAGAATGTATATCCCTCATGCATAGCTCTAATTCCTTGTCCTGATTCGGCTTTACTTTTGGTTCTTCTGGTTTAAAAGCTCATCAACGATTGTATCAGGTTTTTGATTTTCAAATATTTTGGTCTCGGGCATCACTAAAGAGACATTAATTGTCGAAATGTTCATCTGGTGCAGTAGAATTTGTACCGTTAATGTTATTAAACTCCATTTAACGATACAGATATATATAGTGAAAATATGTAAACATATATCTTATTACACAATAAGCTGTACATATGGGGTATTAGGCAGATGTTTATGATACAAAATGAGAAAACACTGAGAGAAAACAACATTAAGGTAGCACTACAGTCAGAATTTTCTGACTCCAACCAACAGTCTTTAAAGATTAATTTCTCCAAAACTACTCAATGGATTTTAAAAATCTTTAACTCATTTTAAAGCTGAAATATAACTCTTTCTTAATCTATAGATACATTCATTTTTGGTATGATTAATCTCAAAATATAGCTCATTAATTGCCAAAAAAGTGGTCTTCCAACTTGGATGAAAATGGCACATTCAGGTCAAATGGTAGTAAAAATTTGTTTTCATCCCTTTAATCAACCATTCACAATCCACAAAACCGTGTCTCAGATTTTTGATATATGCCTCCAGTAATAAGATATATTATTTTTACTGCTGGATGCCAAACCTCATTTCACCTTTCATCTTTGGAGACCTATAAACTCATTTAGAAACAAATTATCCAAAACCTGGGACACGGTATTGTAGAAAATACTCCCTTCAATCACATATATCAAAGTCAAGCCAAAGGGGGTACCCTTAAAGTTTCTATTTCCATTTTTTCCTTACAATTCTCATGAAAAATTGTTCTGAGAAATGACCTTAAAACTGAATTTCCTCTTAAGAACCCCTATAAATGCCACATAAATACAAAAATTCCACTGGGAACACCCCAGGAGTGTTCTGACACCATTACTTTATCAATAGAACCACACACATTGTGTCTTTGATGCTCTAATGCTGTAAAATTTGCATTTTGTGTGCGCTGTATAACACTAACTTGGCATTTGGCGGGAGTTTGACGTCACAGATTTGACCAACATCTGTGATGTAGTAATTAAATAAAGACAAAGCTCCGCCTCTGTCCAGACAGTCTAAGATAAGAGAATAACAGGATTGGCCAGCTGCATCATAATTAATATTTAACACCATTATTCTCACTATAAAGAATAATTTTCATTTGAATTTTAAAAAGAAATATAATATGACCATGATGACTGAAATAAGCTAAAATATTAAAATTAAAATACATGTCCATAAAAAGATCAAGACCATCCCCTTCTTGAATATAGACTGTCCAACATGATTTATGAGTTTCATGGAATTAAAAAATTTCACATAAACTTAAAATTAGTTAAAATGCCTAAAATTATTTTTAAATGTAGAAGACCAGACGAGAAATTTATACAGGCAGTCAGAGGCTTTCAACGATACTTTCACACTCTTTTCCATAGTTTTTTTTCATTTTGGTAGATTTTTTCCCTTTAAATTTTTTCCTATTCATATCTTTTTCCTTTTCTCTGTTCTAAACTTCCATGTTTTATAAATTAGTTTTGTTGCAATGCAATGAGATATTTATCTTGTGGTCAGGGATTAACAGCTGGACACTGGTATCAACAGATGATTGACATATTAGCCT